CCCACAGCAAAATTTCTCCTAATGCTTTGGATCCTCTGATCCTAGCCCTGAAAAGGACCAACCCAGGCTAAAAGTAAATGCTACTCTTTAGTTCTATATCAATATTTAAACAGTAAACTGCAAAGCCTGAATCCGCTAACCTAAACTCTACTATCAGTTTAGTATTAATATTTCAGTCAATTACGGACATACTCGATCTACATCTCCCTGCTCTACAAACACCAGACGCCACGTGGTCATTCAACGCCAAGTGCAACAGAAAGAAGGAAAAATACCATTGCCAACAAACAACCCAGCGAAGCACTCCGTCTTTCTCTTCTCAATTAGAATAGCATAACATCTCAGCTAATAATACATATTTTAATAGTATACAAGTTTTAAGTTCATAATTCTAAAAGGAAATATATAAAAAATCCTGAATTTCTATTAGTGTAACACACATGACAAATTTTGTCTTAGCATGTTATCATCCCTATTTAATCCATCACCCCTAGAAAATGCACGAAATTAAACATGAAATGCTCTCTATAAAATCGTTATGCTTAAATGGACCATAATTTTTATGTCCTCCAATTTTGTTTTGTTACAGAGAAAATCAGACCCCTCCTGCCACATCCTCCCTTTCGCAATTGATTGATAGTTCTCTGTTATGTTTCATTATATATTATTTATAACCAATAGAAAGTCAAGGTTTTCATATATCAAATGGCGTATAACATTGTATTTTGAACAGATAACAGTCAATGTCACTTGGAGTAACAATTTTGTTCCCGTGGGAAAGTTAACAACTAGCTTGGATGAATTTGTAACAGCTTTTGTGGCATAGTTAGAAAGCCAGGAAATTTTTTAGAAGTAAGTGAAAATATCTACTTTTTACATGTTATTAGTCTATATTCTTTGATTTATTATCTAAGTAAATAAAAATTGTTAAGTGCTTTACCATAATCGCTAAAAAAATCAGGCTTAACTCTACTCGAAAATCGAGGGCAAGAAAAACTAAGATTTGGTAAGTACTTTATTTCTTCTTTATTTATTATTATAAAAGTAACTAAAATTAAAAGTATGGATCTTTTTCAGTTATTTAAGACTAGAATAGGTAAAATAAGTAATAATAATAATATAATTAAAATTGTTCACGAAGTACACACGCGAGCAGCTGGTTGGTAATGTAATTCGACAGCTTAACGTGAGCTGCACGTTCTCTGAGTGATTTACCACTTATAATGGCATGGATAGCAGTTAGACAAGTTCAGTGGGCAATATAAGGGGCAATAAAATTTAATTATGAATATATTTATAATGCTACGAACTTAGAGCTACTTAGAATAAACAAATATAGTTTCAGGTTACAATCTGAAGTCATACTAGAAAGAAAAGAAGGTCAATGTATGTTTATTTCGATAATTTGGTTACCAGGTCGGTTTTGAGAGTAGGGTAGAGAAAATAACATTTAAACTATAAGGATTTAGTGGGGGGGGGGGCGTTTGAAATGCATTTAGGGATTACACAAAGGAAATTTGAGATGAAAAGTATTAATATTAACTTAAATTACTTTGCACATAGACTATTCAAAAGAAATACTCAATATATTCAAGCTCAAAACTTTATTTTATTTTATTAAAAGCACTTCACTAAGAAATATGACTTTTTGTATTTGAAAGACTTGTAATATTAACTGAAAGACTGCCAAATTTCGTGAAGATATACCCAATATATAGTTATAAGTATTAAATTGATGTCAACTTTAAACAAGTACAAAAGGTCATGTGTCAAAAGATTTAACACTTGAGTAGATTCAGTAGTATATTTATTTGTTTGTACACATTACTTTTCTGTAACAATGTACAAAATGTATTTTAACACCTGAAATTAACCAATCTCAAATATTCTGTTGTAAGCTTTATTTTTAATATTGCAATTTGTTTGTTAACTACAGAGAGCTGCTGCTCGTTGAGGATGTAATAATCCAGAGATGGAAAAATATCTAGAAGAAGGCTTAGTTATTAAATGCAAATGTGCCAGTCAATTGGAAGATAGCAGTGTATCGTGAATGAATATAGATAGAGTTAAAAATATTGTAGCGTTGTTTCCACAATATAGTAAAGTGAATGAATGTATTAACCCTCATGATTACTTTATGCAAGCAAGTTGATCTGATTTTATGTTAGTTTCAAATTTTAGAGAGGTTTAAACGTCATCTTAGGCCTACAACAACTTACTACAGTGTACAAGTATTCAAGCTTGTAGAAATGTTAAGGGAGAGACTTATATGGACTGGACTTTGAATTATTTTTAACAGATACTTTAAATGAACAGTGTTACAAAAATTCTTATGTGACGAATTTATTATTATATATTTATTTTAATATCAACGTTTATCTAAATTTTCTAGAAAGCCTCCACATGCCTATAAATGTAAACAATGAGACCCTCCAAAAGAGTATCTATTATTAGTTTGCTATAGTCAGTGTGCTATAAACTTTGTAAGCTATAATTGTGATTGTTATAACGCTTATCAACCGGAAAACTTAAGATATTTGACCAGGAGCACTTACAAAGTTGGAACATTACAACTCATTTAACTTCAGTGGATTCTCATTGGACTTTAGTACTTTTACGAAAACATTACATAACGTCACGGTGGAAAACCCGATGTGTGTGGTTGGTAAATAACGGAAGACAAAGGTAACTAACTTCACGTTAAGTGAATTATACCTACGTCAACTCGTAATCGACTCACCCACAGTGAACACTCGATAAGATATGGAAGAAGTTCCAGACTAAAAGGAAAACTTTATATTGCTTGTAAGGTTGTGAAACTTTTGTTTATAAATCATTGTTTGTAATAACTATTTGTAATAAATGTTATTGTAAATTGAATTGTTGTGTGTTTATTAAAACGTATTTGTGTTAAAAAAGAAAATTGTGTATATCAATCTTGTTGGCATATATCATAAACTGACTATATATCGGCTTTTACTTAACTACTAAATTTAAAATACAGTTAAACCACTAAATTTAAAGTATCAGTTAACTCCGTTTCAGACCATTTGAAATTATAATACGTAACACTTGTGTTTTAAAAAGCTTGTTTGTTTGAAGTTAAGCACACGACTACATGTTGCGTCAGCGAGGTCACGTGACTAGTATCACACCACCCCTTTTCTAGAAAAATCCTGTTCCTTCAAGAATGCCCTAGCATTTACTAGATATGTGTTAGTCTTATATATATATGTGCAGTCATATATGAACTGCAGTCAAAGAGAATATTGTTAAGAACGTGAGAAGTTCGTTGAGAATTATAGCGCGACTGTTGAAATTAAGTGTATCGCAAAGTTATATTCAGAAAGAATAAACCAGTTTTATTTAAGAAAGGACTTGTGTCGCTAAAGTTTCGTCGGAACGAAGTTACGGAAAATTAACTAACGAATGGAGACGTAACATACACAATTGGCTATTTGTGCTCTGCCTACCACAGGTATTGAAACCCGGCTTCTAGCGTTGTAAGTCTGCAGACATAGCACTGTGCCACTGGGGGGGGGGGGCTTTTAAAGAAGCCTACATCGAAAGTTTGATTCAATACTTGCTTTACAAAACACAGGGGAAGAAAAGTTTGACTTTTTGTTTCACCAAACAGTGCAATATACCTCGTACATATGATATCAGCAAGACTAATGTCTCCATGTTTATAATTGTGTTCAAAATAAAATTTTGGACGATTCTTTATTTAGAGTAATTTAAATTAACAGTTACTGTATTCGTAATAAGCTGTCACTTTTTTAGTCATTGTTTTTACATTGTTCTGCAAAATAACTTCCTTGGCAGTGTAGTCTTTTCTTTTTTTTTGTATTCTCTCATTCTCAAAAACATTTCAAAAAGTGTTATTTAAACTAGGAGAAAGGCAAACTAAAACAATTTGGTATCATATGATTACGATATTATTGTCTTTGATGACCTGTAATTAAAAAAATAGGCGGCTTCCTGTCTTGTTGTACATGCAAACTGAAGTTAGTAACCTATAGCTTCCACACTGTCCCTCAAAGGGCGGGGAATAAAAAATAATATTTCTTATTGTTTGGGAATTTTGAGCAAAACTATATAACGACTGTCTGCTCATAGCCGCCCCTAATTTTGAACTGGTATACTAGGGTTAAGCAGCTTCTGTCGCTTGTTTGATCGAATAGTGGGAACTGACAATCACTGTTATAGCGCACTCTAAAGAGCGATAACAGGTGTTTAATCCACGAAACCTTGTGTTCACAGACCAGATACTCTAGCCATACCTACCTCTAACTCCAGGTAAAATGTACAAAGATCCGCAAGAAAAGAACTGTGTTCAAAAAAGAAAAATGTTTTTATTTAACTTTATTTTTTATATCTAATTAGCTGTTTAAAAAATAACTGGTCAGTTGATTGGCGTTTTCGTGAAATATTAGTTAGGGCAGTAGACAACAGTCAGCGATGTGCAACTGTTCTGTTCAGTTTCATATCCGATTACTTTACTCGGATGTTTTAGTTTTAATTACAATAGCCTATCAACATAAAATCTGGTTACTACAAACATTTCAAAAAAAAATACACCGTGATAGAAAATTGTGGTTGGCGAACAGTGTTCGATGTTATATATGGCTAATAGCTTTTAGAAGCCGCACTCAGAAGAAATCTCTGAGCATAGTAATAACGAAGTTAGTTTTATATTGCATATATTAAATGAAACAATGTGGATTCTAACACTATTTAGTTTTACTAAATTGAATGTACCCATTTCTGTGCTTTAGCCTAACCTTCCGTTATGCTTGATAGTTTCACTGTGATTAGTAGTAGTAGTTACTGTGCTTAAGCACTATAGTATAGCTTACTTTACAACCAATGTAAAAGTTAAACTTAGAGCTTCTTTGGAACTGTTTAAACGAACACAACCGTGTTGTTTTCGGTGACGTTGCGAATGACGATGTCGAGTACACAAGTCTCACTCATACACTGAAACAGCTGTGAAACAAGCAACAGGTGGTTTGCAACCCAGAGGTACTCAAATTATGAACTGGTACTTGTTCCGAGTAACAAGTACATTTTGCTTCTACTGTCTAGTAGTGTTCTATACGAAACATAGTCTGACTTTCACGTGATGATGCTAGTTAAAAAGCGCATGTTTTCTGTTACATTTATGTGCTGCTGCCATGAATTTAAAACTTTAATAATTGGATTGAAAAAAGCCAGTTGGTTTCAAATTAAAATAGTGTACTAGTCGAGGAAGTTGTTTAAGTCGACAAGTACGTTGTGGTGCAGTGTGCATAACCTTTCACTCCTTTCTTTCGACCTATGATTCCTTGTTAATGTAGGCGATGTCTTTGCTGCACACGTCTTTCGGTGTAGAACGCTGGCACACTGCTTGTATCGTGAGCAGCTTCTAGATTTGATAGTGTGTCGTGAGCAGCTCAATTAATCTGACATAAAATCTCGTTATTTTACTTTATAAAGAAAGTTCTAACAACGAAGTTTTGTGTGACCTCTACTGAAAATTGGTGTTGACAAAAGTTTGTTGGGTAAATACATATTTTGATTGTTTCTTTCTCATATTATTTTGAAAAACTATTGCTAAAGTGTAAGAGTTGTTAAACCTATCAAACGTTATTCAGTTAAAAAGGAGAAAATGGTTAATCAAGCAGAGATTTGAACTGAGTCTGAAGTGCGAAAAAGACACTAGAGTGTGTCTTGTATTATTAATTAAGTAAACTGACTAAATGAGTTTTTCTTTTTTTTAAATTGAACTAAAGACTTTTAATTAAAAAAAAACGATACCGATATTATGACTTACCTGATCTGCATGTTCGATTATTTGTCTCGATATAGCATATTATAAGTTGCATTGCAACTTAGTTTGGCCTGCATAATTAAAATTAATTTGAGATAGTATTTTATTTATCTTTTATATGGATAGCACAACATGTGAATTTTAACCGATAGATATATTTCAATGACATAAGTCATACATTGTTTCAACTATGTAAATATAACTTATTTCAGCGGCTGAAATACAGTTGGTTTTGTTATATATTAGATTAAAACATTATGCTGCTATATTTTACCAAATACGCTACAGTATAGTATAACTAACATTTAAGGTACGGTACACTTGTTTCCTTTTCATTTAAAAATCACGAGACTATACCCTCTTGCACAGTGAGGTGTCGTGTGAAAACTTCTGTGTTCAGTATATCGGATGACCTTGACTATAACTTGTAAGCGTGAAGTGAGCAAAAGAAGCTATACAATACTGCACGAATATAGCAGCCGTTTTTATATCTTTAGTAATAACTGTGTGCATTAGTGGTGAGTAATTAGACCAGTAACTATACGGTTTATATTTCGAGTATTGGAAACCCAGATTTTGTAGGTTAGAGAAATCGTGCGAGTTGAATTTAGAGTAAACTTTGAAATTGTAATAGAAAATTATAAGAAACTGAGGACAAAAAATAATAAAAAACTGACAACTCAAATGAAAGTTAAAAGATGGCCTAATAGTAGTAATAATAATATATATAGCATGCAAGTGAAAATGCTTTATTAGATTAGCAAGCACAAACCAGCCTGGAGAAGAGTAAAGTTGAATCGTCAATAAACAGCATGGTGAGGAAGTGCCTGCAAGAAGTGTTGCAGGGGAGGAATATTATAAATAATACAAGTGTGTGTAAATAGAGAGATCTATTACATTCTGAAGCTTTTTTTTTTTTTATAAAGAAAGCTTCTGATTACCATGATGTTAGGATACTAATTGTAGCAGTTCTAGAAATCGGTCAATAATCTCAAGTTGTTCAAAACTTGCAATAAACTTGAAGTTGAACTTGTTATAACGAGAAATTACTTTCAACTTTTTAAGTTGGCGAGTTCAAATAAGATAGTTTCAAGAAAATAATATAAATTGTGTATACACCAGATGTAACACGTAATTTAGAAGATAACTAATCCAACTGAATGTTTCTGTAATCGTGCGACTTAAAACTAAAACACGAAAAAATTGGTTCAGTGAGGTAATGCACTAAAAAATTGCTCTTATGCACATATCAGGCAGTACAACAAAGCTTTGTACATTACAAATATCTAAGTAATTATAAGACATCATTAAAACAGTGACCCTGATTCAGCAAGCCTTGAGGAATGATTTCAACTGTTGAGATTCGGTATCAAGGTTGTCATGTCACCGCCTTTGTTATTATGAAAACGTAATTTGAAGGATTTGTCCTTTTTCGTTTCAACCCTGTTTATTATCGAAAGTTGAAATAAATTTAAGTTTAATGATCCTGAACACGTTAATCACGTTGATGTATCTTAATAGTCGCTATGCATAGTGGCATAAAATTTACAATAGAAAATATATTCATTTTATATACATTAATACGCAATAATAATAGTAGTAGTAGCAAGTTTGTGAAGTGTATCTCAAAATTACATTTATTGGTTTATATTTTATTTTTGACAGCTTCATTCCAGATTTAAGGTACTAGCAGTTATGAATATCTTTATAAGGAGTTCAAAACATTCAAATGATTTTTGAACAAAAATGGATTTTCAAATATCGTTGTTGTTGTTGATAATATCAAATACAATAATTATTTGGGTAAGATAATCCTATAAAGTTAACTGGGAAAATTCGCTTTGAAGAATACCTGGATTTACTGTCAAACATGTATTAAATGTAAATGATTAATAGTTTTATATGTATCGCATCAATATATTGATTTAAGTATTATATTTAAACATTTTTTAAGGGTCAAAGATAAAATATCGCTATTGAAAATATAGTGTAGGAACTTAAATGTCATGGAGGAGAAGCGATGAGAAAAATTTGCCCATAAATGAGAGTAGTTCTCATGTGGTTAATATTTTGGAAAACCAACAACTTAGTATGTTTGAAACTTTCATAAACTGAAAATGCCTGTTGAATGAAAAAAGAACGACCTTTTGGCTTTTATACTTAGGCCTTCTTCAGGTCTATAGGCTGTTGCAGTCCATCGAAGTTCTCAAACCTACTACGTCTACTCTGCTTGAAGCTCCAATGAAATAACGATACCACAAATAGGTGAAGCTGTTTGAGCCTCAATGTCTATTAGTTCTCGAAGTATGCGAGTGTATCATGTAACATTAAATAACATAAATGTTTCCAAATTATCCAGAGAAATCGGGTTTACTCGATTCACAATGTACTTCAGCTTTGAGCACAATCTTTCCACAACTTTAAGCAAGAAACAGCCTTATTATAGGTACATATCGGGTTTATGGAGCAGGATTCTATACAGTAGGTGTCGGTGACTCGTTGGCGAAAATTCGAACAATAAACGGACAGAACACAATCCACTTCAAAACTAATCAAACGTATGTACACAAGTTATTTACACCATAGGATATCTCAGTTGTATCTAAAACTTTAAATAACTCTTCTTTTTTTTTCTCAAGTCCACACAGGCTGATTCAATTACTTTAGAATCCAATTGCCAACATGAATTATTTTTCTCTACTCTGTTTCTTTCTATACAATCTGCGATAAATTCACTTGCATTACCCCGTGGGTTACCACAGTTGTATCCATAACTTTAAATAATTGTCTCCTTTTCGTCAAAGTCCACTAGTGGGTTCAATTACTTTGGAACACCTTTTAACAAGATAAATTAATCTCTGTTAAACTGTGAAACTCTCACTTTATAAATCGCCCGTTACAGCTAAACTAACTAACAATCACGCACTCTAACTTCTCTTTCCTTAACTTCACTTTTTCTGACTTAACTTCTTTAGAAATCGTTCGTCATGGCTAAACTGTCAATCACTTAGTCTAGATCTGTCAAATTATCTCTCACTTAACTTGCTTTCTTTACTTCCTTTTTGTATCTGCACACGCGACGGAGAAATCTAAAAATCTCCAGCCCTCTAGTGACAACAATATTACACAGAACGAGAAAACTTAGGAGCTTCGAGTAAGATGACGTCAATAATATTACGAAAACCTAGTACAACAATGAAATTGTATACACAATGTACGACTCCTACCGAGTTACGGAACAAAACTTGTCACAACTATCACTTTTAAAATAATTAGCTTTTAACACTATTGTTACGAAAAGTAAATAGTCATCAAATATTAAACCATTACATAAACTAAATAATAACTCTTAAACTAAACAGTCTTGTATACCTTACAATAAACTCCTCTTCAAGAAAATTATTTACAATAGTTTTTATACTATATACAGAGACTGTTCTCAGTTCATACATGAAGCCTCCCCTATGGTCTGCACCAATATTTACAGTTCCTGTGTTGGTCTCGTTTAGCATATGGCATCTGGTAGGGTTTCACCTTGACTGGATCCGTGGTCATGGTCTCGATCTTGTGTTGAACAAGTTCTGCCTTGTCTGTCTGTGAAGACATCTGCATACTGGCATAGTAGATCTCTTTGTTCTTTCTTCTGCTTGCCACTCAGTTCTTCACTGATACTGACGTATGTGTATGTCTACTCTTCACCCAATGGTCTTAGGCCTGGTAGGTCTTTATCTTCTATGACAAAGTCACTGTTTTCTGGTTCTGGATCTCTAACAACCACACCTGCCATGTTCATCTGTACCTAAAAATGTACCTGTTAGGTCTTCTTCCCTCACTAAGTATCTCTTCGACAGACTGGCATGGTAGATCTTGGTTTTTTCATTCACTTTCACCTTCTAGTCCTGTACTTCAAAAGGTCCTTTCCACTGCAGTGTGTTTTTGTTGTCTAGGCTGCAGAAATAAGACCTTCTGTCCGACCTTGAAATGTTGATTCTTGGCCTTCTTGTCATAGAAGTACTTCTGATTGCCTTGAGCTGCATACAGTTTTCCTCGAGGAGTTTAAAGGCCTCTTCCAGTCGGTTTCTGAGGTCTAACACGTATTGGTATGTGTTCTTTACATCTGACTCTTTTCTTCTGTTCATAGCTCTTTCAATATTTGCATCGGACCTCATACTGTTTTTCCACACAGTAACTCGAAGGGTGAAAATCTTGAACTAGCTTGTGGGACTTCTCGATAAGCAAATAATACTGCCTGCAAGTACCTGTCCCAGTCACGTGGTCTCTCTTGGCAAATATTCAGCATGCTCTTTAAGACTCCATTGACTCTCTCACAAAGTTCTTTACATTTAGGGTTGTACGAGGTGGTAAAGAGCTGCCTTGAACTGATGAGTCTTCACACCTCTTATGTCAGTTATAAAATAAACTGGGTCCTTCTGTCACTCAGGACTTCTTTAGAAAAACCCATTCTGCAGAACACCTCCAGGATGGCTTCTGTCACTCACTCTGTCTCTATCTAAGCTATGGCTTCTGGATAATGTCACATGGTTGATTAGTGTCAGCACATACCAATTGCCTTTGTCAGAAACAGGTGCTACTGGTCAAATAAAATCAACAGCTACTCTGCTGAATGACTCTTCTATGGGAGGAATCTCGCCCAGTGGCACCTTGGATACATTCCATTTAGGTATTGTCTGCCATCTTATTTTCTCCTAGGTGTCCTCCCATAATCGACTC